TGATCCCCTGGGAAAGAGAGGGATGGGATCTGATCCCTTGGGAAAATAGAGGTGTGGGATCAACCAGCTCCTGCCATTGGATCTCCTGGAAAAGAGAGGGGTGGGATCTCCTGGAAAATAGAGAGGTGGGAACAACCAGCTCCTGCAGCTGATCCCCTGCAAAAGAGAGGTGTGGGATCAACCAGCTCCTGCCATGGATATCCTGCAAAAGAGAGGTGTGGGATCAACCAGCTCCTGCCATGGATATCCCGGAAAAGAGAGGTGTGAGATCAACCAGCTCCTGCCATGGATCTCCTGGAAAAGAGAGGTGTGGGATCAATCAGCTCCTGCCATAGATCTCCTGGAAAAGAGAGGTGTGGGATCAATCAGCTCCTGCCATGGATCTCCTGGAAAAGAGAGGTGTGGGATCAATCAGCTCCTGCCATAGATCTCCTGGAAAAGAGAGGTGTGGGATCAACCAGCTCCTGCCATGGATCTCCTGGAAAAGTTGCTGATCCAACTCAATCCATCCCCAGCCCTGCTGAGCCACTCTGGATGCATTTTCTCAGCAGCTTTGGGCATGGATACCTCTGAGAGAAAGCAGAGGCATAGGCAGGGTGGTTGATGCCACAGCTGGACAGATTGGCACAGGAGTGTCATCCAGCCAGGGGATTGTTTTGGGTGCTGGAAGGGGCTGGTACAAGACTGGTCCTATCCCAGACATTTAAGCTGGCATTTTGCCCATCCAAATTATTTCTGTAATGGGAAGGGGTGAGGTTTTTTAGCAGAAGCAGGGCAGAGAGGAACTGCTGAGTCCTGTGCTTTCACCAGACTTCCTGTGCTCTGGGGTAACACAAACCCTCTGCTCTCACACAGCTGAAAAAAGAGGAAGTGGCCTCAAAAAGCTGTCATGATTTTGGGTAAGAACAGGTCCAGCAGTGTTAGGAAAGCAGGAGATCCCCTTTTCACATGGATCTTTTCACATGGATCTGGTTCTCATCCACAAGATTCAGTGGCTCCCCAATAAATCATCAACTTCCCAGTAACTCCCAGTAACTTTAGGGTGTAAATCACTCACCGACCCTGAGGCTGAGCCTGGCTGCCAGCGTGGCAAACTCCAGAGCCTTCTCATAGCCCTGCAGGCTGATCTGCAGCTCTGCCAGTTTGTTGAACAGCCTCAGCTCTGTCTGGGTGGCCTTGAGTTTCCTGGCCAAGGGCACAGCTCCTCCCTGAGGAGAGAGAATGGTGAGCTCAGGGTGTTCCTGGGGGATCAGCACTGCCTGAAGGGGGTGACAGAGCAGCAGGACAGGGACCAAAGCAGAGGATGGCCACTGCAAGTTTAGGTTTTAGTCCCTTGAAAATGAGTTTTAAATCCCAATGGCTCTCAAAGCCTGAGCCTCACATCCCTGCCCTTCCTTGGGTGCCTGGAATTCTGACTGGGTGTACCCAGGAGTGACCAGTGTACATTAACACCACCAGGATTTGTACTGGAAGGAGCCCATTCCCAATCCCAAATAATTTTGCAGTTTTTTTGCAAATCTGTGCTCCAAGCCTCCCACTCTGGCACCCTTGGGATCAGCCCATCCCTCTGCACCCTCCATCCTTGAGGCAAAGCCCCCCCAGCCACCACAGGGGGACACAGGGACAGAGTGCTCAGGGGGCTCCATACCCTGTAAAACTCCACTGCCCGGGCCCTGTTCCGGCTGCCATTGAAGAAGGTGTCACCTGCTTTCTCATAAAGGTCCATGGCCAAGGAGAAGTTGTCCCCTTTCAGAGCAGTCTGGATGGCTGCCTGCAAGGAAAAAGGGGCTGGGGTGACATTTGGAAAGGCAGAGACATTGGTGTGATTAAATAAACCTCAAATTTAAGGAGCTGCTCTTCCACTTTTCAGCTCAGCTGATAAAATAATGCTGGGGATGGAGAGGTGCCAGAAGTCTTCAACCCCAAGGACTTCCCTGGCACTTGTCCCTTATTTATGGATATTTCAATGGGAACTGCTCACTTGGCACCTCCAGCTTCTTTTGGCACTCCCCCATCACTTTCTGGCTCAATGAACTCACTTCTTTATACCCCAAAATCCTGTAAACTCAGTGGATGGATGGAAAGAAAGAGAGGAAATTCAGTGCCTGAGGGTAAGGCAAGAGCTCCTCCTTCCTTCCAGCAGCAGGCTTACAGTGCTCAGAACTTTCCCTTCCAGGTTTCCCAGCCCCAAAAGGCTGTGATGGGAATGCAAGGCACAGCTCCAGCCACCTCCCCCATACCTGGAAGTACATTTCCACCAGCTCATCCTCCTGCAGGAGGTAATAGAGTTTTCCTGCCTGCAGCCAGGCCTCCGCTGCCTTCACAGCCTCCTGCAGGTCGATGAAGATCCTCAGGCTCTGCTTGGTGCAGTCCAGGGATTGTCTCAGAGCCCTGCAATGGCAACAGGCAAAGAACCACCTCAGAGGAGTCACAGAGCTGTCCCAAGGCCACCTCCCCACGGCACTGACCCCCTGCTCTCTCCTCCTGGAGTTACCAAAGCCTGGGGACAGAAGGACATGGTCACCTCTGAGCAAGGTGTCCTGGTAGGATCATGGACATCTCCATGCTTTAATGCTCAGGTTTAATGGGCATTGGCCACCTTAGCACAATTCAGAACACCAGTGGTCACACTCAGGTTGCTCCTCACCCCTGGGTGATTGACAGCTTCATCCAGGTCACTTCCAAACCCAATCTGCCTCCCTAAACCAAGTCCCAAAGTCACTCCCAGCTCCACATGGGAGCACCAGCAGGGAATGCTTGTACCTACATGTCCCAGACAGCACCTGGCACCCAAACCCACACCTCTGCCTGGTGTTTGTCCCTTGTGACATCTCTGGCTACATGTCCAAGCCCCTTTTCCAGCCCCTGGTCACTGGAGGACACAGGGCCAGGCAGTGGCATGAGCCAGAGGGTTGGACATGGACTCAGCTGTAGGGAAGGGAGAGCCAGCAGTGTCTAGGGCAGTTTGTTTGCTTGGTGTCTCTCCTGCTAGCAGGCAGGCCCCAGCTGTCCTGGGAGCCCAGGCAATGGGGTGCTTTGTGATCCTAAATAGCACCGTTCACATGACAGGCATCTGCTCCCTGAATACCTTCCCCCTGCACTCACCCTGACCTGCCTGGGGAGGTGAACACCCCAGCTGGGGACAGCCCTGCCCATTTGTCCTTCTGGGACTGGGAACTGCCTCTGCACTCTTTGATCTGA